GCTGGCTATATGGCGTGGGCGACGGACATTGTAAAGTTAAAAACTGCTCAAATGTGACTGCAGATCGGTATAAACAATTTGCATTTCGAATTTTATCAATCTTTTCACTTACTTTGGCTTCGGAAACTATCAACAAATGGTTGGGGGGCATTAAATATATCCAACCCCAAATTCTAAAGCTGAGCGAAGCTTTTCCTTTGCCTGTTTTGGTTCCTTGCCGTACATTATAGGGCTTATTTCTGACAAAGTTGCTTTTGGCCATTGGCAAAGTTTCCCACAAGTTGTGCGGGTGAATCCATTCCCCATCCATTCCCCTTTCTCCCTTCTCCCCTCTCGTTTCACCCCTCTCGAAGGACAATCCTCATTCGCATCCACATCCACCATTAGCAGCTACTTTTCAATGCGGTTAGCCGGCAAACAAAGCGTTGCACATTTTCCCAGATAAAGTTCGGGCTCAATACCGAGGGGGAATAGGATCTGGTCTGGTCTGGTCTGGTCTGAGAAATAGTTAAAAATATGTAAAAGTATTTCCCTTTTTTTATGTTTTATTTTATTTGTAAAAAAGTTCAGACGAAATGCACAACAAAAGTTGCACCCAGGAAAACTCCCCCCTCCCGTCTCCAGCTAGAAACACAGACCCCCAACTCACACACACACACGGCAAAAGTTAATTGCATGTGAGAGTGGGCGGGGGTAGTGGGGGGAAAAACTAACTTTTTAGGTAAGTTTAAAAAGGAGCCGGTTGCACGGATACAGAATCAGAGGAGGGGTGGCAGGTTGGCAGGGGGGTTTCTCGGAGCAATAATTAAACACACATTTCATGCTGCTAATGAAACATTAGTTGTTTGCATTTAATTTGCTATTTAGAAGCCCCAGCGCGCACACATCACCCATCGCCCCATAGCCCCATAGCCCCATTAGGCTGGTGGGAAACTAATGACGAAAAGAGAACTTCATCCGGAGATGGGACTCCGGATCTGGATAGTCATTGAACTAGTCAAAGTTCCATTATTAATAAGTATTTTTCTGGCAATCAACTGCTGTCGGGTAGCCCTTTGCCTTTGCCTATGCGTTTGATTTGTTGATTTTTCCCAAGGAGAAAAATATAGAGAGATTTATGAACAAACATACAGAGCATACAGAGCACACAGGCCAACAAAAGCAGCTTATATATGCAAAATTTTCGGGGCTTACACACGAATGCGAATGGGGGGGCACCGACACCTCCCCGTCCATCAGTGGCCTGGCTCTCGAAGCTTAGTTGTAATTTATTGGCTTGATAAAAACCAATGAAGAAATAACAAGAAATTCTACAATAAAACAAGGCCAAACAAGCCAGCAAATATGCATTGTGCAAATTTGACTATGCCAAAATCGTTGCAAAATTGAAATCGTTATCATGCTGCACACATCCTGCATGTGTGTGTGTGTGTGTGTGTGTGTGTGTGACATGCATGTGAAATATATGTATGTACAGTTGGCAGGCGCTCCCTTCAGTTGACATACATTTTTAAACTGTGAAATTCTTTCATTTATTTTGATTTGCTGCCAAACGAGTCAGTCTTAATATCCTGCTCGCAATCAACTAAACGTATGACAGACCTCAACTCTGCGGCTTGCAATTCATAAACTTTCGTATGTGAATGCACTATTTCACATGCCAAATGCCACATGCCAGGCAGCATTAGTTACCTTTCCATTGGCTGGCTCCTTGCAACATTTTTCGCCGAATTGTATTCAGCGATGCGTAAATTTCACTTATGAGAATGTGCCAGCATCCCCTCATACTCGTTCTCCTAGTCGTTCTCGTAGCCGTTCTCGTAGCCGTTCTGGTAGTCGTGTGTGGCGGGCAGAAGAGCTAGCAAAAATATTAAAAATGGCAAATCAAAGTGCTGCCTACATACGAGCTGTATTTTTTGTGGGCAAATGTTTGCGGTTCGTAGTGATCCTTTTCCAGGATTACTTTCATGTGGCTGCAGTCTACCTAAAATAAAAGAGTAAGCTTTTGACCCAGAAATTTCAGCATTTCGGCAGCATTTCCATATTACAATATTAAAATGGTTCTGCTGTTTTTTGCAGTCAGTCCCCCCCCCCCCCCCCCCCCCCCCCCCCCCCAACCAAATGGCAGGGCATGGAAAAAGAATCCATTCTAATTGAACCTGTCAAAGTCGACGACTGGATTAGCCAATTAAATAATTCAGTGCTCTGGCCAGCCCAGCAGTAAAATCAATTAAAATTACCTATTACATGGTGGAAAATTTGGACAGCTGTCCAGCGAAAATGATTTCCCATTCGACGGTTGCATTTCCCATTTTTGTGGCTGTGATAAATACATTTCTATCGATTTTGTGTGACGCCAAAAACCAGGTGACAGAAAAGACCATTATAAAACACTTAGCTGAATCAATTAGCGAGCACTTTCTCTCCGTCCAACGCCGAAGAGAGCACTTGCTGGCATTTTGTTTTCCCCCAAAAAAAGTGCAGTAAACATGCTTGCTCAATCAGCATTTCCCTCATGGAGCTCATAAATTTTCCAGCGCTTCTCCCAATAATGAAATTATGAATTTGTTTGTGTTTTTCCAGCGTGTACTCGTGCTCGTACTCGTTCTCGTATTATGACAGCTATATAGTAACTTTCTTGGGTATCCCCCTATCCGCCGCCCCGCCCCGCCCCGCCCCTGACGAAACTTATCAAAAACTTTCACGTTCATCATTTGCAAATATTATGAGTTTTCATGCAAGACACACTCGCAAATAGGAGAATTCTTAGCATATGGGTAGGAGGACATTATATTTTTGATTGCGAGTGCGTGGCATATATGACTCCCAATCTTTCTTCTGCTCCTCCGCCGGCTGTGGAGGATCCCCCGCTGACAGTTGGCACCGAAAAATCCGTTGTGATTTTTGGCCATTACCAAAAGCAGCCACGCTTATCTCTGCAAGAATGCAAGGACTACACAGATACTCGTATGTGCAGATGTTTGTGTGTGTGTGTGTGTGCCTGTGTGTGTGCCTGTGTGCGCGTATCTATGCAGATACTTTTATCGTGCGAGTAAGTCGGGGATCTGCTTCCTCTCCGGCAATTCCTCAGGAGGAACTTTCCACCGCACCCTGCCCCACCCCACCGCCCCACCACCCCACCACACCACATATACGCACAAGGATTGACAAAATAAATAAATATGAAAATTTACGGCAAAAGTTTCGGTTTCGGTTTGGGTTTGGGTTTATTTTTTTCCCTCTTTCACTTAAAATGGGTCTTGGGTTTTGGCGGCGGATCCCTGCATGGGTTTTGCGGGTTGTGGCTTTTAACTTTTGCCTCTGAATTTATTGAAAAATCGATTGTGGTATTAAATCCGAGGACCATGGGCTATGGGCTATGGACTATGGACTATGGACTCCTGCCTACTGTCGCACAAATCCTTTGGCTTTTCAGCAAATCATCGGAGCTTGCAGCTTCAAAAGTGGCGCGTGACTCCGTCGAACGGGGATGCAGAATGCCGCCTCGTAAATTTATGCAAAGCGCTGCCAGTTACTTAAAGAAAACCCAAAGCTGCAGCAAGTTTTCTTTTCCCTTCGTTCTGTTCTGCTCTGGTCTCCTTTTTTTTGGCCGTGATGAAAGTTGTCTTGGGGCTTGGGGCCTGGCGAGTTATCAGGGGGGGGCGAAAAAATGCTTTTGATGATGGGTTACAAAAAGATTTGCATAATCCAAGCCTGGGAAACAAGTCTGCAGCAAAACTAAGAGGTGAACGCCCCAATACCCAGCAGTAATCCCATTCCCTGCTTTAAATGTTCCCAGGTGAGCTTCAATTACACATTCGTTGTATTACAAATTAACAAAGCCCCAAAGCACTTTGCCAAAAACAAACCAACCAAAAATGTTAACAAACAATGTGCAAATTAGGCCGCAATCTCGCACACCAATACATTCACACACACACAGACATACAGAGAGTGAGAGAGAACTCCCCACAAAGGAGCAGAGCGGAGCGGAGTGGAGCGGCAAAGCCGCTGACAAAGAAAAGCGACAAAAAACACACCGCCTGCTAAACGCCACAACCACAATCGCGATAAAAATCGCAAAAACCGAGCTGAACGCAATGAAATCAAATCAAATAAGGCTAATGCTCACAAAGCCGATTTGGCCGCAAATTTAGTAAAATTAAAATAATGTGCAAGACAGTTGCTCGAAATCAAATTCCATTTTCCATTTCCATTTCCATTGGCATTTCATTCGATTGGCAATATCTAATTAAATCAGGAAAACCGCAAACAGAAACGCAAACACACAAATAGCCGTGCACTCGTTCGTGAGGAGTGGCGTGGTGGGGAAATAATAACAATTAAAATAATTATATTAGCATTAGCTTACATTAATTTGAGTTCAATTTAAAACTGAAACGAATGAAACTATGTATGTATATAGCTCGAGCCAGCCGCTCGAAGGCCTAAGCTGCGATGCGCTGCGCTGCGCTGCGATGTGGCTGCTGTCGACTTTCCCTGCCTTTCCCCCCCAGATGTGTTTGCTTTAACTTCGATGCTCGTACATAATTTAGCGGGTACATCGGTTGGGAAACGACCGCAGCCAGAACGCACCCCATCTAGGTAAGGGGTAAGAGGTAAGAGGCGAGAGGTAAGAGGCGCAGGCGGAAAGCAAAGTTTCTGCACTGAAAAGCCTCTTAGGTTTGAGCCACGTTTGCCCTTGCCCGGGTTTTGTTAAAACTTTAAGTCAACTAAGCGGCTTACCTCCACATCGACAGACAGATGCACAGGCCACCGCTGCTAGAGATACATAAACGCACACTCTGGCAGCACACTCTGGCAGCACACTCTGGTAGATAGGCACACCCATCATACACCCCCACACCTACATACATATGTATAGACATCACTCATGCGACACGTGTAACCCGTTGGAATGGAAATGAAAACTCAATTTCTGATTTTGCTTACAACATACGGCTTTATTATTAGAGTATTTTTGGAATAAGTAATTTTCACTTAACCTATGTACAGGGTTAGTATTTGTATTATTATTAGTATTAGTATTAGTATTAGTTATAGTTAATTTATGCACGCACGCCCTTGTATACATTTATCAAAAATACAATAATAGTAATTATATTATAATTATTCTGTACAGTTTTCGAACGCCGCCTGCCATCATTCCCATGGTATTCGCTCTATGTAGACCCGAGAGTTGATTGCCAGCGTCGTTTAGTTATGCGTTATCGGATAATGCGTTAATTATTTACAAAAATTCCGCAATGCTAGCATGCTGGTGGCCGGGACATCGCTTACATGCTGTACTGATAGCGCACATTAGATGCCAGCTGCGGGGGAGAGAGTTTTTTGGAAAAGATATTCAGTGGAATTACGAGTATTCTCGGTAAGTAAGCCTTTGGCCTCACCTCAACGCCCACCAATCGCTCGTCGTACTCGCTGCTGGCCTGCATCGCCAGCTTTGCCTGCGAATGCATAATCGCATCGGAGAGCGAGTCCCGTTGATATGTAGAGGAGCCCATCATGCCGGGTACGGTTACCCCGCCGGCGGTGCCGTTGGACGGGGCCTTCAGGCGCGAGGTCTTGCTGCGGCAGAAGAACTCCACGATGGCCACCACCACGGCCAGGAGCAGGCCGCCGATTAGTATGTAGTAGATCCCTGCCACGTTGCTCAGCGACAACTCGTTGGGGGTGGAGGTCTCCTGGCTGTCCAGATTGGGGTTGCACTCGGTCTTGTCGTACCACCACTTGTTGCGTATCCTCAGTAGTTCTCCGTTCTCCTTCAGCGTGAGCACGGCTTCATTCAGGCGTTTTCTGGTGGGGAAGAGGAATATTCTTTCGATTCACCCCTAAAATTACCTCAAACTAACCTTATGGGCGATCCTATGGGTGTGGCCACGCCAAATCCCTTGGCATCGATGTTGCGGCCCACTTTCATGGTATCGCAAGGGGACCTGGCATTCACGTACTCATTCTTTGGGGACTCCACCAGCAGGGCGTACTTCCCCTTGGAGGTGCGCACCCTGCGGATGCCCTCGTCGTAGGCATGGACCGATAAATGGGGATTGGAGTTCATGTAGTCCCACATCTTCTTGTGCAATTCGATTTGCGATCGCTGAAAAACATCTCCATTCTAAGAGGGAAAAAATGGGAAACGCTAGGCAGAGCTCACCTGAAAGAAGTCCCAAGTGGCGCCATGTAGGAGCGTTCCATACTGCACATCCGTTTGCATGGCCAGATCCTCGGGGGACTTGATGGGGGACACCATGCGTTCCACGGTGAGGAAGGCAGCCAGGTTTGCGGTGTACGAGGAGATCAGAATGATGGTGAAGAACCACCAGACGGCGGCGGCAATCCGTCCGGCAATGGATGGAGGCGTCAGATCGCATCCCTGCTGCATGAAGGCGGCCAGCGAATACCAGAACGAGTTGAGCAGACTGAAGTCGTTGGCCGGAACAGGAGACTGATGCTGCGGCGGCTCACTGTGAGTGGCCCCACCAATGATCCCGGGTGGCTGCTGGACAGCGCCCTCTGGCTGGGGTCGCCTCACAATGCGCCACTCGTACGGCGGGAAACGTGTGACGAAATAGAGCACAATACTGACACCCAGATAGCTAAAGATCACGCTCATCTGAAAGGTACCTCCATCGTATGGGACACTCTTTTGGAAACCTTTCCATCCCCAGTACTTACCCAGATCTCCTGCGATAGGGGATTGAGGAAACTGAATACTCCTGGAGTCTGCTTGACGGGCTTTTTGATCATTATGGATATGCCCAGGGTCATGAAGGGCTTGCTAAAGTCAATCACTCGCTCGCGCTCCGCTGTGATGGTCATGGCCGCTATGGCAATATCTGCCTCCTTGCGCACCAGCTCCCCCACCATGCCATCCCAGCCGCCAGGAGCATACTGATTCTCGGAGCCGTAGTTTCCATCCTGCACCAAACGGAGTTCGTCTGAGGAATAGAGAGGCAAGATTGATCCAAGGAAAGGAAAGGAAAGGGAAGCTCAGGAATATAGCTCACATCGTATTCCCAATTGATTTGCCAGCATATCGGCCAGGTCCTTGCAATAACCCTCGAACCGATCATTGCCCACCAGCTCCTCGCCATAGTGGGGCTGCTTGTGCATCAGATAGGGTTCCTCCAGGACACTAGTCACGATGTATGTATGGTTCTTGGAATAGTCCCCTGAGTTGGCCGAGGCAGAGCGCGATGAAGTCGCATAGCTGCGGCTGTGGAGGGGCAGGAGACCCACATCGTCGCGCCACTCGGCCACCTGCTGCAAACTGCTGTTCACGGACATCTCCACCACATGCAGCGTGTAGTTGATGCGGCGCCCGTCCTCATCGAAGCGAATCTCCCCGGACAAGCCATCGATTTCCACCTGGTTCCGGGGCGGAATCAATGGTATGTTTCAAGCACTGCTCGCAGAACCTGTCCGTCACTCGTCACTCACCTTCCGTAGGACTCGAGAGATTTTTTCGCCCTGCTCCCACGGCGTCACCCAGCCCTTGCTCGTGTTGCAGTCCAGCAAGGCACTCGACTCGTTCGTCCCCGAGGAGGAGCTCGAGCCACCGCCATGGCTGCGACGCTGCAGATGATTGGAACGGAACTGATCCGGCTTCTTGCGCAAAATGCGATTGAAGGCCTCGACGAGCACAAAAACCGCATCATACATCAATGCCGCCTGAGCCTGTGGACCAAATCGGAGGAAGATGGAAAGAAGGAATGAAGGAATGAAGGAGGAGGTCAGCACTTGGGGGAGAGCACAAATCAATGCCCCGTTGGAAATTTACCGAAATGGCTGGTAAGCTGTTGCCTCCCGCTGCGCCCAGGCCAGAGCCTGACGGCTCCAAGCGTTTCCGGCTATCATGGAAATCCCGAACCGCCCGCCGATTAGTGTCGACAATGCGAAAGCCGGTGATGTTGATGGCACCGAACTCTGCCACATCGCTGGGCCAATGATTGTCCATGACCTACGCCCCAAAAAAAAAAGAACAGAAAGGGAGACAAGATGGGAAAAAGAATAAAAATGTAACACAACGCAATGAAGGATCCCCGAACGGAAGCTAGCAATAATTGCTTATTAAAGTCCCGCACCCCTCGGCAAGCCCAGGGGGGTCTGCTCTCCATTCCACTCACCAGACCACTGAGCAGGTAATGATAGGTGCGCCTGCCCAGCTTTATGTCCCGCACATGCTGCACGATGATCTCTTTGGCCATTTCCGCCGGGCAGTCGAGCACGATGCGCTTTTTGCTGAAGCGACCCAAATCCTCCAGCGTGTGCAAAAACTCAATGGCCATTGTTACGTTGGCGATGCGTTTCACCATTTGCACACGGAATGTTTCATTTCCGGGCTTCAGTTCTTGATAGATTTGCTGCAGCCGTAGTAAGCCTGTCGGTTTCCAAAGCGATTGTTGGTCAGGTCAGTCGAATGGTTGAATGGTTAAACGAATCACCCAGTGTTGGGATTGTTTGTGGATGTGGTAATTCGGAGGGAAGATGGTAGATGGTTGGTGGGGGATTAAAGTATCTTGAGGCACGAAAAACAATCTGATAATGCCACAAACTGAAAGACAGCTTAGGGTTTTATGGTAATAGCTGCCATCCATAAACAATTTCCAGCATCCGAGTGTATATACGAATAGATCTATCACTTTTATAGAGTAAATCAAGCCTGCTCCTTCTGTTCGCTCCTCCCATCATGGGATCTGTCATTTAATCATATTCCTCATTCCTCATTCCCCGAAACTTCATTCAATCTTTCAATCTCGCCTCCCTACCAAATCCCTCACAAGCCGCAGAGAAGCAGCCGGGCGAGCAGGGGGTAGACAAAATACATTTTCACACGCCATTTGTTGCACGTCCAATATGCCCCGCCATGTGGTTGTTGTTGCTGTCATTGATTTGCTGCCTGCATTGATTCCATGCCCCAAATAATAACAAAAAAAAAGGAGAGAGAGAGAGAGAGGAAAGCACACACAACAGACGGAAAGTGGGAGAACAGTAAACAGTCGCGTGAAAAAGCGGAAACGGAAGTGCACAGACAATTGAAGTACTTTTTTGTGGTGTGCTGGTAACATTTCAATAAATAGCAACCCAAAAAATTCCACTGTGCGTTGCCACTGCCGCCGCCGCTGCCGCTGCCGCTGCCGCTACCGTTGCTGTTTTATTGAATGTTTCCTATGTTGTCGATGGATTCGGTGGATTGCTTTTTCCCTGCCACTTTTGTATTCATGGATGCGCCAAAAAATATGCTACCAATTTGTCGCCGTGTGCAGCAGCCCCATTCGGAGTGATAACAAGCAGAAAAAGACGGCCAAAAAAGCACGACGAAGGGTATGGCAGGGCAGAGCAGAGCAGAACACAAAGCAATAACAACAAACTGCTGACAGCGGCATTAAAATATAAAGTCCCGCTGTGGTGCCTTTCGTTAACAATGTAAACGCCAGAATCGGAGTCGATGTCGGCCAAAAAATTCCTCACAACAACAGCAGCGGCAGCAGCAACAAGAGGCAGAAGGGCAGATGGGGTACAACGAGAGTAGCAACAACAGCAACAGCAGAAGCAGCAGCACCAGCCAGAGCAAATGGGGCACAAGCTGGTGAGACTGCCTGCCACACTCTTGCCACTCGTGCTACTGCTGCTACTGCGGCATTTCCTTTTCCTGCAACGAATGCCAGCGGCAACAATGTCGGCCTACTTTTCGGCGCCGTGGCAAATATTAAAAAATGGCCCAAAAAGGGAAAATAATAATAATGTTAAGGCAGAAGCAGAAGCAGGACCAGAAGCAGCAGCAGTAGCAGCAGGATCTGGAGGACCGAACAGAACTCAGTGCTGAAGGCAGCAGTTGCATAAAGTCATAAATTTTATTTCACACAGAGTCATTAACACATGACACACACACACACACAGACACAGACACACATGAGCAGTCATTACAACGGCGTGTGAACTCATTACAAAAGAGACAGCAAGCGAAAAAGAGAGAGAGAGTGTGCTGGCAAAAAAAATCACTGCGGCGTATACGTAATATTATATGAAATTTTTACTGAGCCAGAGCATTCCCTCCTCTCCCCCGTCCACTATTGTGTGTGTGGCTGTGTGCGAGGGGGTGTGGGTGTGTCTTTTCCGCCATCTGATGTCTTCATCTTTGGCCGTAATTGTTGCCGTCGTCGTATTGTCCCACGTAGACGGCAGGAAATTGCTTTGAAATAAATTTCAATACAACAAAAAGCAGCCTAAGATACGCACACACACACACATGGAGGGTCTATATACACACAGACTACAGACTAAGAGGTAAACTTAACCATATGTGTGTCCCAGTGTATGTGCTCATGTGTGTCCTTCTCTTTTCAGCTTAAGCCCCGCTGAGGAGCCACTCGAAAGAGCACACTTGAAGGCACTTGAGAGCAGGCTGTCTGGCAAGCTCTTCGTCTGTTTTTCTGGTTTTTTTCCCGTTTTTCTTTTAGATGCGAGGCACGGCGCTCTTTGTGCCGCTTATTTAATTACATATTAGCAAAAATGAAAAGGCTAGAGATACAAAAGTGGAACAGAAAGAGCAGAGATATGCTCTATAGGACTAGGAATAGAGCATAGAGAATAGAGTTAATCCCCAGCAGCAATATTGCCATAACCCTTCTGCCTGTTTGACGCTTTATTTGTTTAAAGGGAAATGAAAGTCAAATGAAATGAAATGAATACAAAGGAAATACACGCAGGGATAATGTGTGTGTTCCCTTTTTATGAATATGAGGGGGAAATACTCACCGTCGTGCGAGTCGTAGAGATAAATAATGCTCTGCCAGCCGTAGTACTGGATGGTATCGATAATCGCCTGATGGTAATCCGGACGCATGCTGATAGCGAAATCCAGCAGACCCGACGAGGGTGTAAGCACCTAAAAGTATGCAAAACCAGAGAGAAAGGCCATGAACTGGATGTAACAATGTAATGTGTACGCTACATGAAGCAATAATAAAATGAAACGCGTTTCCGCTTTGCGCCCTCCCAGCGTCATGTAAGTCTATCCATTGGCGGAGGCGGAGGCGGAGGCAAAGGCGGAGGCAGCAGGAGGAACGATGGAGGAAGAGGTGGCTCCGCCAACAAGCAGATACATCCAAAGAGATATACACACAGATACTCGCTTCCGTTTAGCTCCACTCACACACACTCACACACATACTCGTACACTACAGAGTATAGCCTGCCCCGAGGAGCACGCAAATGCGCAGTCTATACGAATATGTGTGCTTGTGCTGATGCTGATGCTGGTGCCTTCGGTTGCTGGCTGCCTTGGCCCCCGCCGCCATATCTTGATTTATAGTGATTGAAATAAAAGAGGCCAAGAGCGTGTCATAAATTTTTTTGTGCTCCCGCTGTATGGGAAAGCGAGTGTAGGAGTCTTCGTCGCTCGTTTGGCATTGTCTTCCGCCTTGTGGAGCGGATTGGAGCATAGTGTGGAGTGTGGAATGCGGATGGGAGTGGAGTGGAGCGTTTGGTTTGGCTTTTTGTTTCGCAAGTGACAACAACACCAGCAACAGCTACTCGTACATCCACATCCACATCCACATCTACAGACTATGGCACCGCCAACAGCCACAGTAGCATCACCAACAACAACAAGCACTCTCTGTCGCTGTGTCTCCATAGCTGTTGTTGGTAGTAAATTTTCTTCAAATTACAATTATTATGATTTGTGCTTGAGCTTTGATTTAGTGCACTGTCTGAGGACAACAGCAGAGAGCATGGAGAGCACGGAGGGCACTGGGGGGAAGCTGTCTGAACTGTGAACTGCGAACCCGGAACGATACCCAATGCTCCACTTTAGGCAATGACTTCATTTTTATAAAAGTTGACAAAATTCTTGAACCACCCAGTGATTGCGGGGAGAAGGAGGAGCAGCAGGAGTAGGGGCAGGAGTAGGTGGAGGTTGCAATCCCAGCCAATTAGGATTGGTAATTGGAAATACCGAAATGGAAAACTAAATTTCATGTGAAAACCCGGCCAACAGTCGAGGAAAGCTAAAGGTGGCTTGGGTATAATGACTAATACGAGTACTAATAAGTAAATTAGTGCTGATTTAGTGTGACCTGATTTCCTAAAACAAACGAGTATGTACATGTTTGCTTGTCACCGATGGTCTTACTAGTATATTGGCACATCTATTTCTTTCGGACCGTGTGTTCTGCTCTCAATATTTGCACTTCTATTAATGTGACCGATGTCTATCGATGTCTTTTTATTGTCTACTTATGTTTCTCAATTTGTTCTGCTGTGCTCTTTACGGTTTCTTGACCACATCCAGAATTCTGTAGAAGCATATGAGCCTCAAAAGGCATTATAGAAAATATATTAATAGTGATAAACTATTTCAACCGAAAGAAATAAAACGTTCTTATGTTTCAATTTGAAACTTTTAAATGAATTTTAATCATTTTTGGCAAACAAAACTCGTGTTTGGCTTAAGTTTTAGACATAAATTTGGAAAATCTGCATATCTCAAAAATTTGCATACTATAAAAATGCCACATTTTTCAAAAACAGTGTCAAAATATTCAGTAGTTTAGTGTCAGGCCTGCAGAGATAGGTATATTTTCTGTAAGAACTTTCTTCGATGTGTAATTTTATGGTAATTGACACACATACAGCCAGGAAAAAAGCCCTGAAATTTTTATACTTTCACTAAGATTTAAATATTTATGCCATTAATTTGGACCCGAGATTTGAAATGTGTTTTCACATACATTTTGGAATTAATTAAATACATTTTATACAAATGTAAAACAATTAATATTGCAATTAAATATGTGCCGTATTAAAAACACTTTTTGACTCATTTACTATGTATTCAAATCAATGTAAGTTCTATTTCATTTTACTACGTGCTGTATTTGTGTTTAACAACCACTTAATTTTATTTAAATATGGGTGTGCTCGGTGTGACATTGCCATTTTTATGTCAGTGTAGTTTCCGCATCATTTTGTCAACAGAAACACACTTTAATATTTAGTTGTAGATTCTTAAACAACTAAATTCACCTGCAGTTAATTATTGAAGTTCTCTAATACTTTGATGTGGAAAATAAACTACTTTAGACACACACTCAGGCATAATTCAATTGTGTAAGCGCCACCCACTCTCTGGCTTCGACCCTAAAACTTTGCCTTTGTTTCATCAACCTTCATTAACGCATAACTGAGTTTATCAAACCCCCAATCCCATCCCCATTCCCATCCCCATCTCCATCCCCATCTCCATCCCAGTGCGCACTTGCACCCCTTCACTCGCATCGAAACCACAAAATGTAAATAATTGCGCAGAGCGACACAGAAATCAATTACATATGACAGTTTTTTCTTTTCTGTTCTGTTCTGTTCTGTTCTTTCATAGGGTGCGCTTCAGGACTTACCTTCTCGGGGAACCATGGCGTCACAAATGGCATTTGGAACGTATTCGAGTAGGAGTGCAATGTGTCAAAGGAGTCCGGCGATACGGCGCCCAGCATTGAGTAGACTCCGCGCGAGAATTGATTGCAAACTGGAGGTTACAGTAATAAATTCTTTTTGTGTTTCTTTCGTTTTGTTTCATTTTGGTAGGAGTATTGGAATGGCAACAGTTTCGGTTGCAGCATGAAAGAATGGTGGAATGGTGGAGTGTGGAATTGTGGAGTGTGGAGAGGAGTGTAGTGAGAAATTGATTGTAGTGCAATGTGAGAGAATGGAAGGATGTGATGTGCTGGAATGATATGCTGGGTGGGAGAACAGATGGAGAGTAGGTCTGGGACAGTGTCTAGGTCGGGAGCAGGAACAGGAACAGGAGCAGGGACAGGGGCAGGAGCAGCAGCACAGAGCGCACAATTAAATTGCAGCTTGGAGTGTACAGTGAACAGTGTTGTACAGTGCGGACGTGCGGAGTGGAAATGTGAAGTAAAACCAATTTTCAATAAAAAATGCACATAATTAATGGGTTCTATGTATTGTGTAATGGATTTTCGTTTTTGTTTTTTATCTGCAGATGGTGCGGATGAAACACATACTCAGTCGGGATAATTTGAATGCATCCGCCGTATTGATGACATCTACGTACGCCTGCAGCTCGAAGCGCCGGGAGCTAACGTTCAGATTGTGATTGAGCATTGCATATTTAAAGGCTGATTGCACATCATCTGTACCCTGCTCAAAGATGGCACCTGTGGGGAGAGAGGCAGAGAGATATGCAATGAGAATGAGAAGCTTGGGGGAAAATATTTTTTGCTTCGTTAAATATTTAGGCAGCTTTTGACACGGTCCTGTTAATATTAAACGAGAGCGCACAGGGCAAATATTTACACAAATGATAGCATAATGTTGCACCCACACCCACACACAGGCGCCAAGCACCACACACATATGCAGATGGAGGACACACAGATACAGATACAGAGCCAGTGCCAGTGCCATAGCCAGAGCCAGAGCCAGAGACAAGTAGCAGCAACAAAAAGCGCAAACGAAGTGTTGATGCAGCAATTTTGTGCTGCGCTTTTGCTGGGTGCCCCCCGCGCTCTCGTGCTCTCGTGCTAACGTGCCTGTGCAGGTGTGAAGCCTAGTAGCCAGGAGCAGGAGCAGGAGCAGGAGCAAGAGAAGCAGCCAGGAAGCAGGATTTGAGTGCAAGCCAGTCAGCATGACTGTCACATTAGCAGCCACCATACGTACAGGTACGAATACTTATACGATTATATACATATACATATATATACAGAACCAAAATGACTGCAGGTGCAATGACTGAAGCGCCATCGTGCAATAAAAATAACGAAAAGACAGCAGAAAATAAAAAAAGCCAGTAAAGTTCTGGAAAAGAATTTCAACTTGAAATGAACGGTGTGCGGTGCTAGGACATTCATAGAAAAATCGCACAAAAATATAAGAAAAATTGGAGGTTCTCGGAAAGCTACAAATTAGTACTCGTATAACAGGAAGTACTCCCCATGGCAGAGTTCAGAGAAAACCACCAAAATTGTAATGCTTCCCCATGCCCATTGCGGAAGATGGTTGGGGATAATCTGCATGCATCAGTTGTGGACAATTTCCCCAACGAGTTACGAAAAGTATTTCAGGAACCCGAACCCATTCCGGGAATCACCAATGACAGACACACACAAGCACACAAACAGGCACTCCAGCAACAACAACGACTAACGGCTATACATTGTAGCAAAATCCTAGCACCAAGTGCACCAATGGCAGTGACAATTTCTGTTCCAGCCTTAGCTGCCGCCTCGGGCCGTGCTTATGTTGTTCCGCAGTGAGTGCCAGGCCATGGTCTGCTGGCTGTTGGCTGTTGGCTGCCTCCTGTGCGACGCTTTTGAGACTCACCTAATGGTATTTTCTCGGTTAACGATGCCGTTTGTTGCTGCTGCTGCTGCTGCTGTTGGGCGGCACTGAATTCCAGCCAGCAAATGCTGCCGGCGCATATTAAATGTAAATATGCCAAGAATTTTAGCCTCGAATGCATTTTGCGTTTGTATTTTGTTGTTGTTGTTGTTGTAGCAATTTTCCAAGTTTTTTCCACTTCTACTTTCGTGTATTTTTTATGCCCATGCAATGGATAGAGTATATCTTTTATTTGTTACTCAAATTGGTTGCCCATTACGCTGGGGCTTCACGTTGTTATATTTTTTGAGGGTTTTCGCTTGAAAAGTTTCCACTGGCAGGAGAAAAAAATGTGCTGCTACTTATAGGAGCAGTATCAAAGTGGTCTCAAAAAAAAGGTTCACTTCAGCTTAAATCACTAACTGAATATTTGTTGATTTACTAATAGTAATTATGATATTTTCTGATAGTTTTTGTCAACGTTGAAACGCTAAACATTAAAAAATTGAAGTATTTCGAGTGTTGCCGGGACTACCTAGTTGACACAAAAAATAATCTGACTTTAAATGCGAACTGTAGTGTAGCGATTCGCTGGACTTTAACTTCGGACTTCGGGCCGCCTGCCCGCCTTTGGCGCTGCTTTGAGATGTGCCCCAATCGAAGGAATTTCTCGTCTCGCCTTTGCTCATCCGCTCACTTGAACCAAACGGCAACGCGTTGTAATCAGCACTAAAAAACACCTAAGCTGCCTAGTAATACGAGGCCCAGAGCCGAGGCAGCGAGCGCCCGGGCGACACGGCCACAATGTCGCTTTGTCGCTCGGGAGAGCGCCACAAGGGATGCTGTGCTCTTTGTACTAAAAACCCGAACAGCCCCGCTCGTGTGTGTCTGCAAAGCCCAGAAGGAGAGGCTGAACGAGCGTCGGCGAAGGAGAGAGAGAGAGAGCGTGGCGTGGATGCTGTAACTGACCTACTGCAGACGGCATGTTGGATGCCGCACAAGTAGCAAGTTGTCGTAGTCGCAGTCGCTGTTGCAAGTTGTTGCTTTTGTTGCATCTCCTCCTGGCGGTGGTTAAACGTTTGTTTACGTTATGCTGGCGCTTTTTGGGCGGCTGCATAATTGATAACAGCACGAGGATGAAGCAGCAGATGATCCGGGGCATGCCACAGCGGCATCTGCTCGTCTTTCGAGTTGACTCTCGCATAATGAGAGGTTTAACATTTTGTGAGGTTTTTCCCCAACTTGTTCGCGATGTTCTGCTCTGTTATGTTTTTTTTTTTGTTTTGTTTTTGGTAATTACGAATGATTTGGACGAACAATCCTTTTAACAAATCTCATTACGTTGTCAATTACGCGCCATTACCAACATCACGGCCCGGAGTCGCTCCATTCCGTTCAATCTGGGTGCCCGCACCCGCTTCCGCACCCGCGCCCGTTCCGTGCTTTCCTCCGCCTCGCGCTCTCTCGCGAAATGAAATCTCATTAACAGGCTTTAATTTTCCAAACAAACTTAAGTGCGCCGAGTATGAAGGAACCCATCGGAGCAGCAGCAGCAGCAGCGGCAGCAGCTCTAACTTTGCACTACTCGTTCTCTGCTGTCCGCACCCCTCTCCCCCTCTCCCAGTCAGCATATTACGGGGGTCTCATGGCGAACGATTTCGTCATAATCTGTAATTAGTTTATAATGCGCACAGGAAATGCTAGCAGGAATGAAATAAAAAAAAGTAAAAAAAAACTTTGAGAAAAGAAGAGAAACAGAAATGGTAGGAAACACGGACAATGGCCACAACTCCCGACTTAACCCTCAGTTAGAGGAGTAATCCGAAGAGCCAGAAGCCGATAAGAGGGACAGGGGGACAGTGGACAGGGGGGCAGAGCCAATAAACATAAAAGCTAATGGTGAAATTTTTTAATTAAGAAAATCAATGAATATTTCTTTCATCCGATCCGCCCTCACTCTCGGGGGCGAACTTTCCGCACTTTCTCCTGTGTTTTCTGCATTATGGTGTGCTGTGTATTTTGCTGTGCTGTTTAGCTCCTCTGCTCTCATTTCCTGCTCTTCAGGATGGCATAATTTTAACATTTATGACTTGCGATTTTCATGGCTCTCGAGCAGCGGAAAGGGAAAAGGTCTTGGGGATAGAAACGTCTTTGGTTTGATTTCCTTTTTATGTTTAATAAGCTCGCAAACAAACTTGCTTTCATGCAATTATTTAATGCAAACGTTTATAAATTTTAATTGGGTTTTTTTCTACGCTCTTTTCTGCGTGGCTGTATGCTGTATGCTGTAAGCCGTAAGCCAGGGCTATTTAATTATAAATTACCATTTATCCGAGTGCCTAAGTCAACAAAGTTAAAGCGTTTAATTAAATCGCTCAAACAAAGCACTTTGTCAGGCAGTTCTTAAAGCCGCAACAAAATCAAAGCCGCAAGTACAAAGATAAATAAGTGGCATTGTCGGTTTCATTTCCGGCTGCAACATTTGCATTCAAATCGCTCTGCAGATGGCTGTGTGAGTATCAGTATCTGTGTCTCTGTCTGTGTTTCTGTATCAGTATCTGGCTCTGTCTCTGTATACGGTTGTGCGTGTGTGTGTGTGTGTGTGTGTGTGGGTCGTTGTAAGCGGTATATAAGTAGACTCCCAACTGGTTTTATATTTAGGCGTTTGCCTCCGCTAAAAGCACAAAAAGAAACCAATAAAAAGCAGCACGCCGCGAATACGAAGCCAACCCAAAGTGATGGCTCTGTGACAGAGGAAGGAGCGGGAGTGCCGAGGGAGCTTCCCCAGTGGGTGGCTAGCACTTTCAGTTAGTAGCAGCTGTCGCTTCAGCCCCGCACCGCCGTCGCATCCACATCCACCCCATCTGTATTGGCTGCCGCGACTTGGCCTCGACTGTCTTTCAGCTTCTCACTTCATCAGTTACGCCAAAAAGGAGACTCTACAATAAATTTCGCTGATTGCTTCCGACTTTTTTCCTTTTGCCCCACTGCGTCGCCACCGCCCCCCCACCCACTTTGCTGCGTCCGTTCCCACTTTCCTGGGAGTCGGCATCTACGCGGACTCATTTTTTATGCCGCTTGATAAAGTAATATCCGTTTTAGGTTCACTTTGTTGGTCCTGTCAGAGCTAGAGCTGATGGCAGTTTTGTGGACTCTGCAATACCCTCAAGACACGGCGAAAGTGGCAGTAAGTCAGTGCGGGGTATAAGACTGAAGGGCGGATACATCAGGCCAAGGATTGGTGGGTGTCTAGCGTTGGGCAATCCTTTCACTCTGCTCTCATCAACTGTACATCTACAAATGACTCCAAATCAATACAAATCATCAGCCTAGCTCGACCAATACACCTTTAGTTTAAGCAACATAATTAGAGGGTATTAACTACAAGGTATGAAAAGTCTTTGCTGTTGCTGCAAGTAATGTTCCAACTTTGGGCTATAATTTGGTCACAGCTCTAGCCACACACAGAAGCCCACCCGCTTCTAACACCGCTGCAACACAGATTTGTGGCCTTGGTTACAGAGTTGGTCAGGGACTGGGACCGGGACTGGGGCTGGGACTGGGGCTGGAGCAGGGGGGCTCCAATGGGCTCATGGGGGCGTATGCGTCATATCAGCACACGCATACGCTGTGTAGGTCAATGCTGTTAGGACCAAAGGGAAAGCCATTGCCATAGGCATGCTCTGTTTGCACTGGCCTTGCCTCTCACTCCTTCCCCTCTTTGCATGTGTGCATGTATGCGTGTGTCAGTGTGTTGGTATATGGTTGGTGTAATTGAAACTTCCGCTTTGGTCAGTTAGCGCAATTTAGCAAGCTGCAAAAAAGTTAGCCACGGCTGAAGTAACAGGCAAAGTGTAAAGTCCATTGCAGCTACTTGGCTTTCATTTCAATTTAAACTTTAGAAAGCCAGCACACACACACACAAGCATTGCATACCACATACTCACACACTTGCGCACAGATACACACAAAGCTGAGGGGCAGACACATGGAGAGCCATGGAGAGTAGAAAATTATTTAAAATGATTTATTTCACAACAATTTTCATTAGGTGGCCAACTGCATTGCAGGTTCCCATGCTCTACCGCTCTACCGCTCTACCGCTCTTCCGCTTTCCCGCTCTCTGCACTAATTCACTTTTGCTGATTCCTCTGGAAAAAATATGCGAAAAATGCCTTGAGAGCAAGGGCCTCCCGACCACACTCCACTCCAGTCCACTCCACTCCACACCCCACTCATGTTTCATATATGAAATAATTATATATGCGGTCAGACTACGACGACGACGACAGGCTGCGGGCAGTGCACCAGTCGCTCCGCTCAGCTCCTCCTGAAAGTTCCTAGGAAAAAATAGAAAATGTGTGGCACTGCTACATATTCGTTCCTACCATGCTGCCGCTCCACGGCGACTGGTGCATAACTTTTGGCGGAGATTTCACTCCACGACCGAAGCGTGTTCTCTGTTCCCTGTTCCCTGTTCCCTGTCCACCGCCGTCGTCTGTATGCACAAAATTAGCAGAAAAGAAAGCAGATGCAAACGGAAAAAATGCAGGCCAAAGGAAAATTCAACTTGGAAAAGGTTAACAAGCGTCAGACAGCCCACAACAAGAGCGGGAAATTACCCAACAACATTACCAGCAGCAACAGCCAGCAAAAAACAACAAGAACTTATAATTTTTGGCCACGAACCCAACAGCAACAAAAACGAAAAAACTAGAAAAAGGGCTGTGCCGTAAGAAGAATGTTAATGAAAAGCAAGCGTGAAATAAAATCATAAATTCTGCAACGCTTGAGGGGCAAGTGCAGAGTACGAGTACGAGCGAACATGCGGGTGTATGTGTGTGTGTGTGTGTGTATGTGGGGGTGGTTTCCTGTTATTATTATATTGCATTTGTGTGCACATGCGAGTGGGAAGTAGGGGAGGGTTAGGTTCGAGTTAGAGCTAGGAGAAAGCTCGGACTTGCTTGAGTGCATTTGTGGTAAGCCCCCAAATGTAAACTACGATAACGCTATGGTACCCCAAAACGAGCGAGTATGTATGTGGGTGTGGGTGTGGGTGTGGGTGTGTGTGTGTGTGGCCTGACCATGGAGTACATTCCGTCCGAGCGTCTAGACTTTGGTAAGCTTATCCAGCGATAGCAGCATGTGGCAGTCCCCGGACTGGGGGGACAGTTGGATTCAATAAGCGGTGATGCAGGAGTGACAGAGATGTACCAGAGATAATTTGTGTACATTTCGGAATAGTTAGTAACTATAACATGTATTTTGTTGAGATTGTATACGAGTACTAGCTGACCCGGCAAACCATTTTCCGCAGTCTTGTCAACTATTTCTGTTGCTCCAAAAGATGACATTTGAACGCATGAGTTGAATGTGCGAATGGACTGCAGGAACTGGCTTGAATCTGGATTCGTGCCGATTAGCATTGAACGGCTTCTGGTGGTGTCTCAATTTTATGTAGTTGCACTTTTCCTGATCCGCAACACATACCATCAATCAGCACTTTCGGATGAATGGAATATTCCATAATCACGTACTAAAATCCAGCTTAAAAATGGTGGGCGGTAAGAAGTCGAAAAGTAGTTAATAACATATTCGTATAGCTACTAAAATAAAACAAAAATCGGTCGAGTCGTTTGAGAAGAGCAGTCTTGTAAAATCCAAAATATATTTACATATCCATCTATGTATGTATGTATAAATACTTGTACCACCCCTTGCAAATTGTTCCTCCATGGTAAAAGTCTCCGCAAAGCTTTCTTTTATTTGGGTTCCAAACATTGCTTTTGCAGAGCTTTCCTCCGGGAAGCTTTAAGGGTGATCCAATCCACCTCTGCAATGCCCTTTTTGAGCTTTCATCGTTCTACCCATTGAAAAAAAAACACCATCTCATTTAGTACTGTTTAAAAAAATTGTGTACATACGTTTTTATTAATTATTGTTTAACTACTTTTTTGCTTGAATCTTCTTGTCTATGGTTGATGAGATTTCCTTGCTGTCCTTGCGATTGAAGCGTGTGAGTTTTCCATATCGCAACTTAGGCAAAAAGAATTCGAGGCGGCGCTCTTTGATCTAGACATTAACTAATAAAATGCATAATTCTGTTAACAATTTGTGTGTTGAGTGGCTGTGTGTGGCTGTGTGTGTCTGTCTGTATCTGTGTGTGCTTACATAAGTAATTCATTCACTATGATTAATGCTAATCTGATTGTAATTGGTATTTATGCGAATTAGCTATAGCACTTCGTTATAGGAGTTAAAGCCAAGAGCCGATTTAACGGCAACAGAGTTTTCGGTGTGTTTCAACGCATTTTGCTCTATATATATATTGTATGTACATATATCTGCATATATCGTATATATGTATTTGTGTGTGTTTTTTGTGTGTACATATGTATTGGTGTGTGTTTCGTATATAATAAATTCCATTTCTTTTACATTTTGCACAACAGTATATTAAACAATTAATAATTATTTTTTGCTATGGCCGGGCCGAAATACAATTTGCACTATAATTTTGTTTGTTTATGTTTTAGTTGTTGTTTGCTTGATTAACTTGTAGCTTGATGTATTTTCATGATGTACATACATATTTCTGATCCACAGACCTGTGATACTCGCGCGATATAGTATATGTATGTATGTATGTATGTAAGATCCGCGTGTCTTAGATTTACTTCTTGTTTTTGTTTTTTTAGTTTTTTTTTTGGTATTTGTTTGGTTTGTACTCGTAATTTGAGTCCAGCTACAAAACGTTGCATAAAGTTGTATAAAAGTTTGTGGTTACGAGTTTCTTCTGTTATCATTTGACTAGCGGGTAAATACAAAAAAACGAATCGATCGACCCCTACACATACATGCACTCGCACATACACACACATACATACATATGTAGGTACGAGCAAGTATGTACATATGTATATAAATAACACTATATAGTTTTGTTAGAAACGGCTGCTATAAAATCACTGCCACTTTTGGCCAGCTCTGCACCCTTCCCTTCTGTTGTAAGACTAACGTAATCATTAACTATCTATATGTGTGTATATATGTAGTTCATAAGCGCTAATATTCGTTAATGCAACAAGTCTATGTGGGATCGTCCTCATCCTCGTCCTCGTCCTCATCCTGCTCCTCGTCCTCCCCGTCGTCTTCATCCTCATCGTCATCCTCCTCGTCGTCCGACTGTTCGGATCAGTCGAATATGCAGACAAAGACACGGAGGCAATTCATGCCGAGCTTCTCCCAGCAACCCTCCTCCGTGGAGCGGCCCTCGTTCGCGCGGCGCATCTTCTTGGGGTAGTTCTTGGGACTGCTGCGATCGCTGAGATGGACTGGCATGCGGGCGTATTCGGCACGTGGCTGGCGGAACTTCTCCATCAGCTCCGCCTGCTGGTCGGTGAGGTTCCTTAGCTTTTTGCCTGCAATTGACAGAGGTTTTAGTAATCGAAACAGAGCTTGGGGCGAATCAACTTGTGGACTCACCCTCTAAGGCATCACTGATGAGAGATATTTCGACTGGTGGGAGAAGCTCGATGCGCTCACAGCAACGACGGAACTCGGAGGCACTCATCCGCAGATATCTGGGGGTCAGGCAGAGGGGTCCCAGCACAGTGCGTCGGTTTTCGGCAGTGCCAAAGATATTCTTGCGGGCGCACTCCGCCAGACTCCACGAGGCCAGGCACTCGAACAGGGTGACCTCCGAGCGGAGTTGCAGGGTGTCGCGCTTGACCACGGTCTCCAGCTCCTCGAACCGGAGGTCGCAGATCTCGGGCATCGAGAGCATCAGCTCCGCGTGCATGTCGATCAGCTGGAGTGTGTTGTGCAGCAGGGCCACGCCATAGTCCTCGGTGGTGAAGGGATTCGGATTGGGTATGAGATTGAGCTGCGCCCCATCGGCCCCCTCGGGTGGGTTCTCGCCCGCCAGGGCAGCCTTGGCCGCCGCCTGCTGCTTGGCAGCGGCCTTCGCCTTGGAGGCCTGCTTGCGGGCCAGCTGTTGGCCACTCTGTTGGGTGGTGATCACTGTCTGGTGCTGGTTGGTCAGCGCTATGCCCTGGTAGAACCACAGCGCCTTGAATATATCCAATGCGGTGGCACTGGAAATTCTGAGATCAAGCTCCCGAATGCAGTATATGATCTGAAATTAAGAGAGCCTTGGTTAAAGAACAGAAGACAAGGAATCTCCTCTCGAAGAACTCACTAAATCAGGCACGTTAAAGCGATCCGATAGTTCCAGGATCTTCAGCAAGTGTTTGTGATCGCGATAAGGTATAAAGTGCTTCTCCATGTAGCGGACGACCAGCTCAAAGTCGTTCTTGTCCACATTGAGGATCTGGTAGTGGTTGTCGCTCTTGCGGCCGCTGTTGGGTCCGGCGTGTATCAGCTTCGCCAGCTCCACGCTGCGCTCCACGACGGACTTGCGCTCGCATCGGATCATGTACCGATCGTCCCCGTTCACCACAATGAAGTCGATGTAGGGATTCACAATGACGGGGACTCCTGTGTAGATGTTCGTCTGGCCCTTGGCGTATGGCGGGGGCATCGAGTGGGCTGGTGGGGCACTGGGCGCCGGGACACTGTGAATGGCGTCCACGTGGTGCCCGTCGGGGCCGAGACCGAACGGCAGTACCATTTTGTACTTCTCTGTTGCGTCGTTGCTGTTGGTTTTGTTTTTGTTTTTGTTGTTGTTGTTGTTCTCACTGCTGTCGCCCACTTGTGGTATCTGTGGATCGTTGTTGTTGCTGTCGACCGGCTGTGGTTCCTGTTCGGATGCGGTATCCTCCTCCCGAATGTGCAGAGCCTTGCGGATCAGAGGACCACCCACCAGCGGTAATTTGGTGATGCGCTTCTGCTTGTATAGCGCCTCCTCCAGTGTGGAATCGAAGCGCTTCTGGCGGTATTTATTGCCACAGCGGAACTCTGTGTTCCTGCCCTCAGTGAACACCCAATCTTTGTTCTTGAGCTGTAAGAAAAAATGCCGTTAAGTACTCGTATTGGATGAGTATTAGGTCCCCAGGGTCTCCTCAGGGAACTACATTCTTTATCAGAATCACTCTGGATAATATTTTTACGAGGATTGGGATTGACCATTAGTCATGTTTCGAGTGCGGGCCATTTCGCCACGCTCGGAAACCTATCAGAGTGCCATAAAGTAGAGCCCTGCAAGTGCTTTCCCCAAGTTAATGATCGAGACCCACTCGCAGCTATCTTTATCCTTATCAGTCGATTGCCACACTTCAGCAACATAAATCGTTTAGCGTTCGAGTCAGAACTTAATCGCTGATTTTTGCACTCGACTATAAATAAGTGATACTCATTATCTTAAAGTAGTGCCGCCTAATTAGCTAACGAGCCGAGCCGAGGCGAACCGAGTTCTTTTGGGGAGGGGACTGCTACTGGGATCAGTTTCCTTATATTTGAATCGTTTGATTGCCACCAGTTCGGTTGCAATCCATCATCGGAGGACTATAAATCATTTTGGCAACACTTCTCGTATCGAAACCTAACCCAGAAGCAGCCTATCACGAAGCAAGCCGCGTGATATGTCCATAAATTGTATAATACCTCCCCGAAAATATATGAACCAATGATAGTGACAGCGTCCCCGAGGGAGCGAAGGGAAAGAGCATCCAGGCAGGGGCAGTGGCACTGGCACGTTGATCGGTGGAGACTAATTATGACGTCAAGTAGGCGACAGAAGTAATGCCCCCTGATTTGAGGCCCATATCATATAATACTAAATCGATTTGGTTTCTATAGAAGCAACAGTCTTTATCTTTACAAAAATAAAAGTTCAATGAAGGCAATGATAGTTTGGCACAGTTCTTTATAAGTAGAGAATAGTATTCTCACAATAAGAACTTATGGAAAGGTTGTTCCTTAGCTTAAGAAGTTGCTTTTCATAAATCACAGCGCAAGAAACTTCTGCTAGACCTGCCCCAACTTTCACAGATAGTATCTCTTGCCATTTTAGTAACCATTTTGATAATATTATAGACACATAAAAGCTTGTTATTACACGGAGCAGCCCTGGAACCACCCCTGGAAAAGCTGAGATCATGTGAAAGGTAACTACCCATATCTATTGTCGAAGGGCTTTCAGACATTTGTATTTGAAAACAAAAAAATTGGTTCATTGGCCAGCACTTGATTTGTAGTTGCTTGTCTTGTTTATGCCACAAGAACAGTGCAAACATAGAGAACTTCGCAGAAAGAATGTGCGGGGAAAATAATTATAAATAAAATAAATTATATGACGACACTCGTACTTCGGTGTTTGAACAGTTGTAAGGAAGGCGAAACGAAGTGTTGACGACTCCATCCGACTCGTGATGGAAAGGAGAACAGTTCCCCCAGTTACTCTCTATGAGCGCTGATATTTAAATATTGACTCAGACAGACTCGGACAGAGAGGAAACAGAACGAGAGAAAAAGAGAGACCGCAATGGGGGGAAGTGTGACGACCGACGTGATAGTGTGTGATAGTGCAATAAATAAATTATCGTATGCAAATAAATTTATGGCTGTTCATCGATTCAGAGCGTCGTGCGTTATCATCTGCACACTGCCTCTGCCACTGCCACTGAGCTTTGGGGTCTGGGATCTGGGGTCTGGGGTCTGGGGTCTGTGCTCTGAGAGGTCTGATCTGATTCTCAAGTTTTATGTGTAGCACAGGCATCGAATTAGCACTCGGATGGTAGTCATAAGTTCCATGGGCTTCCTTTATCAGTGGGTTGTATGGATGGATGGCACTGAACCGCTCTGGATTCCAGGCGTGGGCATTTACGATGGGGAGTGCCTCGAGGCTGCCACCAGCACCACAGTTAACCAGTAAACCCGTAACCGTAAATAAAGAGCCCCCGACCTTGCCCGGAGACGTTCTTGAACTTTACAGCGCATGTCATTCGATTCCCTATCGCAAATTATCATTTACTATCATGTATATCATGCACTTCTTACACTTTATTGTATTTTTGTTCCTTTTGCTTATCGGCCCGGGGCTCGTTCCATCAATCAATCAAACGCGGTTTACTTCGGCTTGCCGCTGTCTGTGGATATGTTTGGGTTGGGTTGTGTTGGGGGGAGGTGTTCTTCATAAACGAGTATTTATATTTGGAACTCTATTTTTTGCCATATACGAGTATATTTCCAATATTGTAAATCACACACTAATTGGTTTGTCTTTTTGGTTGGTGGCTTGGGGGTGGGAAGGTTGGTTAGGAAAGTGAGTTGAACTCTCACGATTTTCCTTAAGGGCGAACCGAACACCACGAGTTTGAGAACTCGACTGCCATTCCAGCGGACTCGCAGGCCACTACATCGACATCAGCGGCGAGGCGACGGAGCCCCTGCGATGGCGGCAACGGCAGCGGCAGCAGCAACAGCAGCAGCAACACCAACAGCAGTAAGTTTGATAATGCGTCATAAGGCGAAATCGAAATATCCGAACTCTGGCATGATTCCACATTCCATCCACACATGATGGTATGGGATCGTATTTCCAGTATTAGTAGTGGATCTTAGTGTGGTTCTTTCCACAGAAATAGACAGAAATTTGCATTTTATTGAGAGTGTCATTGGGTTTGAAGTGGAATACTCTCTAAATTAATCACAATTAATAGAATTGAATGATTAAAAACAACCCTTTTTGATGGAAACTTTTAAATTGCAAAAAAATAATATCAGCTATATGCAGGCCAACCGGAAATGAACTAAATTGCGTCGGTTTGGGAGCCGCAAGTCCGTGAATACTAGCCTCATTTTTGGGGGACAGATGGCCAGTAAAGAAATTAATATCACTGGCACTCGTATCTCAGTTTAAGGGAGCTGCAGCTGGCAAAAGATTTGACTATTGGACTTTCTTATTAACAAGAAGATTGTGTGGGTGGTGGTGGTGGGGAGTAGGAGTGGGAGTGGAACTACAAGTGGGTGTGAGGGTTGTACATATTTGACAACTGTAATTGTCGTCGCTCCATTGTGTAGGCACGATATTCATATTATTGATAAGCAATGCAAATATGAGGCAAAGGCAAAGGCAACATGTAGAGGCAGAATCATACCCATGGATGTATGTGTGCACCTTTTTTTGCGGAATCTGTGTCTGGGTGTGAGTGCGTGCATTTACACCACACATGTAATAATAGCAACAATGATAGGTGCTGGCAAGGGCCACAGAGAGAACAGCAGGGCAAAAGCTGCAACTCTGCGGCGGTGCCTGGTTGAGCCCAGGCATACGAGTTCGTGTGTTTGTGTGTGTGGACAAGTATTCATGCACTCGACGAGGTTTGCCGCAGAAGTTGCAGCAGGAAATTAGGTTCAGATGAAAGCAGATTATAGCGGATTGGAACAAGAGATACATACATATACTATATGAGTCAAGTTTTCCTCGAGAGCCACTTTATATGATTTATATTTACCATTTTATTTGTATGTGTATATGTAAGCGTTGTCGTACTTTTATAATTACTTAAAGTTGCAAGAAATAAACCTGGATCAAAACAAATAATTTTCGAAGTTTATAGTAAGTGATTTTCCAATATTACTAGATTAAAAAGGAGAAGGTAATTTTTTCAGATATTGTTGCTCCACAAAGTCTTCGATCTTACCTCGCCCTGCATAGGGTGCCGGCTGAGCCGGCTGAGGCGGCTGCTGAGGCAGCGTCAACCGCTAATGAGTCGCGGTGCCAGCAAAGCGGAAGCCGTGCCAGAAAAGCCTACGACTAAGGCAACAACAACAACAACTGTTAACAGTTAACACTGACGTCGACTCCATAACAGACTCACGCACGACCTTGACACTAGGACACCGAGCGAACTCCCCAAACACGCCTAGCCGTGACAACAGCAGCTCTCTGTAGTGGGCCCCATTTCCCCATTTCCAGCATATGATGATCATTAAAACCCGTTTACGGTCGCCGGACGGCCAAACGGCCGGGCACGGCGTCGGAGCGAATCAAATATTTGCATTCATAAAGGGAAAAAATATAATTAGCAGCATCGGAGCAAAGTGGAGCAGAATCAATATACATACACGGATACACGCATACACACCTATGCATGTACATGTGTTTGTGTGTATACCCCATACCGGGGCGAGAGGAAAAACTGTTTAATTAGTTAAATTTAACATAATTATTCACATTGTTGGCTAAAGGTAAACATCTCCGAATACGCCGCAGAAGCCGAAGCCGATGCCGATGCCGAAGTAGAAGCAGAAGTGCAAATAAATAAACAGACGATAGAAATCGATGGGAAGACACGTACATACTTATGTATAACCGAAATGGAAACAAAAAACGCACCCAGCCCAATTTGCTTCCTGGGAATATAGCCGGCAATTGCATCACAAACAAGCCCTGAAGATATTTCTATAGTTCAAAAATAAAACACTTGCCGCATTCTTCAGCGACCACTGAAAAGTTCAGCAAGTGCGATGGCTCCGCGGTCCCCATTTGAACGCCCTAATGTGGTGCATTATTGGGTAGTCGTAGAGAGTGTGGTTATGAAACACTCGGTAGAACTTTAATTAAGTAAAAAATACCTTGAATCGAGTGGAAATATCCAGAGTAGAGTCATACATCCCACATGGGTCACAGCAAATGCGATTTGGATGTTGGACTCTAGTCCGCTCGAAGCCCGTTAAATGCTCGAGTCGGGACAAGTAATTCAATTTGTGTCAAGTTGGAACCTACGATTATGAGTCCGACTGCGAACAGGACAGACAAATGACATCATTTGATCGCGATGCCGTGCAAAAACGCAGTCAAAACTTTTTCTGCCCACTTGGCTACGTTCCAAATGTAACAGCAGACTCTGAATATGACAGAACATTCCAATAACTATTGGGGTAGTAATAGCCGGGGCATAGCCTTTGTGCACAAAGAGTGTACCAGGCTACTGCGTCAGTCATTCAGCTGGTCAGTCAGTCAGTCAGTCAGTCAGTCAGTCAGTTAGTCAATCAGTTTCTGGTTTTCCCCTGATTCATTCTCTTGTAACGTGGTATCAGATGCAGGTTGGGGTGTGGATGGCGCTAGCCCAGCTTGGATCAGACAAGTAACTGACGTATTAAAACAGCAACAAATTGCTATTTATGGGATAGCAACTAATAATCGCTATATATGTACATAAAGTGAGGTATATTCCAAGTAAGCAAACAATAAACGTAGAATTTAGTTTCGTCACAAGCAAAACTTTTTTTTTTTGGCAGAAACTTTCACCTGGTTTTCCCTGGTGCTCTCTCTTTTATCCGGAGCCAGGAGTGTGGGTGCGTCGCCTTCCGAAATGCAAACAAAACATGAAAACGGAAAAAGCGGAAAAACTCACCCTCAATGGATGAAGAGAGAGAGAGAGAGAGAGAGGGAGAGGAAAACCCTACGCAACATGTTCCATGTTCGGCATGGAGTGGGGCATGGGGGTGGCCTCTGACAGAAACTGGAGCAAACAGTTCGGGGGAAAACGAAGTCCACAGCGAACAAATTTGCAATTGCAGACAAAGGAAATAAAGAAAGCGGAGTGCTGGAGGGGAGTGGAGTGGGCAGCGGGAAGCGGGATGCGGGATGGGACTTGGGCTAGGCCAATAGCCAATATCAAGAGCGCGACGATGGGGATCCATGCGTTGGAGGGACGGCAGCGGCAGGGCAGGAATGGGGAGCAGGAAGGGATTGGGGTCGCTTGGGCAACCAGTTGGTGCCAAGGGCGAAGTGGCAGAAGAGGCGAGGCGGAATGGACGCGAGGGCTCGTAACAATTGACAATGCGGCGTATGCGCGATGGATGCCAGGCCCAGCTGATGTGGCGGATGATACACTGAAACACTGACACAGTGAACGAGTTTCCCACTCGCTTATACGGACATGGGCACACGCACACATACACACACACACCCGCACACAGACAGACACCCGCATAGGCACACATATACAGAGAAAGTTCTCCCTGAATTCCTTTGAACAGGCTTTCGCTTGGCAAAGTATCTGTGGCTGCGGCTGTGTCTGTGGCTGTGTGCCTGCGTGTCTGTGTATCTTATGGATACACAATTTATGTTAGCCAATTGCTCGCTCATGTTTTGTATATACGAATGGACTTTTGATTAATTACACACGGGCCTTGCGCCTTACGCGACTTACCCGAGTTTATGGCCCGAATTCTGAATTCTGAATGAGAATTTTCGAAATAGTTCGGCAAAAGATATTCCTTGCTGACTGCCGATTTCCGCAAACAGCAGACAACAGATACCGAGTATTTTGGCGAGATTTCGATTCGATTCGATTCGATTCTGTTTAGTTAGTGTTTTGTTTTGTTTTGTTCCGATTTGTTTTGGGCAAATTTGTTTATGCCCAATTTAATGCCGCACACTACCCGTATTGCCCGTATTGCCCGTATTGCCCGTTCTGCCCGTAATGCCCGTGTTATGCTCTCCACTCTCCACTGGCCCATGTACTATATTCATATACCTCCTATACCATACGTAGGTGTGTGGTGAAAATATATATATATGCAATATAGTACGATCCGAATCCGAGAGTTTTGCGCGCGCCTCGTGCCAAACGGAATTGGGAAAGGCAGCCACCAACCAACGACAACGTCTCCTCTCGAGAGCCGAAAACCGTATATACAACAAAATCTTTCGTGTGCGCTTTTCCGAGCGAAGAGCGCCAAATCCAAAAAAAAAACACACACACCAACAACAACACCAACAACAACAAAGCAAGGTACAAGAAAAGCGAGACAGAAGGAAAACATACCCACTTTCTCGACACGGCGTTGCCACCAGGTCCGTCCATATAGTGTTGTCACTGACAACTTGTCAGTATTAATCCCGTTAAGTGTTTGGATACAAATTAGATTAGAACCCAAATTTTTGAAACACAACAGAAATTGTATCTTATTGTGGGCATGTATTACAATCGACAGCCAAATCGCAGCCTTCTGGCAGCCCTATTGCTGGGCATGGGGAAAATTCTCAGCAGCTTTTCCCCAGCCGGACATGCGCAGTGGGTGTCGTGTCGAGGGAGAGCTCTCTCCGACCCACAGGTCGTGCTTCTGGCAGCCAGAAGACGCAACATTTTCGAGCGTGTGATAAGACACGGACACTGATGCGGATGCCCCGGACAACAACTTTCGTACACTTTCCCTTTCCAAAAAGAGAGAGAGAGAGGGAGAGAGACGGGCCAGCAGGCGAGCGAGAGTGCGTGCGTGGGCATCATAGGGAGGGCTGCCTCTTTCGGGCCCTAGACAACGGAGTGCTGTATTGTGTGAGGTAGGAAATTTATAGCTCTTATCAACGCCCGACCGACCCGTCGACCTACCGACCGACCAACAGAAAGGAAATGGAATGGAAGGGAAGGGAAAGCCAACGGAAAATATCGGGCAATGCAAACCACCAGAAACTAGGTCAAATCTCACTTTACGGAGTCGAACCCGAACGAACGAACCATTTGGTAAAAACATTTGGCAATATTTAAGGGCCATCGATTCTGGGCTCCTCCTCCACGTCTTCTCATTTTCTAGATTCCACTCCCCCCAAAGGAAAAGGCAGTTGCATTTGTTTACATTTGATTTTTGTGATTTCTTGCGGTTATTTGTAAATTTTACAACTTTAGTTTCGTTACATTTTTGCAGTGTAATTTCGGATTAGATTAGATTAGGAAAAAAAAAGAATGGAGAAATTGATTGTACGTCAGAGGTTGGGCTGTACGGCTAATTTAATTTTGCTTGAGACACTAAGACACTGCTGTCTTGTAGCTGCGTCAGCGGTTTGATCCAAGCTATCGATGGTTTTCGTGGGACATTTCCGGGGCATAAAATTAGATTAAAGTCAGGGCTGATGGGATGCAGTTCAGGCTGTGGGGCCACGAATCTAACTGTTGATTGGAGCACTAGTCTGTTCGGTGCCATTCAATCGCTTGATGGCTATTTTGGCCACACCCTTGGGGCACTCTGCCGAGCCGCCCATGAGAACGAGGAAGAGGCCATTGTGGGCCACTGTGTTCCACAGACGCTCGATGACCTTGTCGATTTTGGCAGCACTGCGTTCAGCTTTATCCAGGAGGAAGTCCTCTTCGGGGATTGGGAGATTGGCAATGGTCAGAGAGTTCTCTAGCGCTATTTCGGTGACTTTTCGTACAGCTTCTTTGGTGGTGGCCACCTCGTGCACGAGGACAGCACTGCTGGTGTCTTTGGGGACGACCTGCTCGGCCTTCTGGATGATCTCCTTGAGGCGCGGCTGCAGGTCTCCCACATTCACGATCGCTGTCCTCCTGTCCCGCTTGGCCGAATGTGCAAACATGTTGTTCGTGATGCTGTCGCCGCTGCAGGCATTGGCGATCTCCTGCAGACGCTTCTGTTGGGTCATAATCTCGTCGCCAAACTCGATGCTGTTAGCGAGCTTCATCTTCACGAGCTTTAGCGTTGCCCTGGAGTCTTCGATCGAGTCGTGGCCGTACTCGTTCTCCTGGATGGTCTCCTTGAGGAAAGTCATGGCCAGATGCTTCAATTTGCTCTTCCGCCTCCGAATTCCGGACATGTTGAAGCACACGCTGGTGTCGATCACATACGGATGCATCATCCGCATGGCATTCAAATCGGAGTTAAGGGACTGTCCCACGAGGATGGCATCGTCTGGCAGCAGTGCTGACACCTCCCTCTGCACATCCTTCAGCTGCTTGGTCACCTGCTTCATGATGTCCTCGGTAATGCCCGAGTACTGGGTAAGGTAATCCACGATCCTGTTGTCGGGCATCACCAGCGTCTCGTAAACAGTCCTGTACTCCTCGTCTACAATGGAAATACGCGTCAGCTCGTTGACCCCGGCCACAGTGCGACACATTTCACAGTCCACGCCGTACATGGGACTGTGGTTGTTGACCGGCTTGTACGATGGCTTTGTGAACTTGTAGGCCCTGAAGCGGCTGTGGAGCTCTCCCTGCAAGGGGATTGGATAGCCCTCGTCGACCATTTGCAGGGCGGAGAGCAGGAGTTTGGTCCGCGGGAATTTGTCATCTGGATGCAGATGAGGCAGCTCCATGCCCGGCCCCTCGCCACTAATGTTGAAAATACCCCTCACGAACAGTGTGGGATCCTGGTTGAGGGCAACTGCAGATTCCAGGCAACCGTGCTCGTCAATTAGCTTCTTGGCTTGCACACTGGTCAACGGAATCTGGAAAGAACCATAAATATATTATCGATTAGCGATTAGCAATCAGTGGATAGGCCTAAAGCAGTACATACCTGAGCGATCTCATCGATAATCATGCCTTCAGCCTGCTGGGGGAGCATAAGCTCCAGCTTCGCGTTGAATATCCTATTGGTGGCTTCGAACTGGCTCTCATTGGAGAGGTAGTGGTACAGGGAGAGGCCCTCCAGGATGACCACCACGCTGTGCGAGAGACTCACCCACTTTTCGGTGGAGCACCACCGGTCTGGCCGGCAGGGACTCTTCTGGCCAATCATGCCCGACATCAGCAGGTTCTGTATATCGCTGAGGAAGATGGGCGTGCGCGCATCTTGAGGCGTCTCCAGCAACGCACGCTGCCCCATCTCCCTCAGCCGCAAGGCGGGAACATCCTGCAGTCGCCGCTTGCGTCGCCGCAGATCCGCCGAAAGGGCCTTGTATTGTTCTTCGCTAAGAGTAACCAACGTGTCATCGGGTAGGCTGTCGCCACCAGCTGCCTCATCTTTGCGAATCCGTTTCGTCTGTGGCTGATCTATGTGGACCGTCTCCGCATCTGTGGCATCCGCTGTCGAGGTCTGTTCGGGGGTGCTTCTGATGGTATGCCGATTCTTGACTTTTCGCTTGCTGCTCACGGTGAAAAAGCCGTCGTCTGCCGCCTCTACACCGCTGGACCGCTCCGCCTCATGGTGACTTTTGTTCGTCTGTGGCTCATCTGTGAGATCAGCCTCGGCGCCGCTTGATTTGGACTCGGAATCCCGCTTCCTCGCCAGCTCCGCCTCATGTACACGATCCCGATCGTTCAGGTCCATCAGATTTGCCAATGCGGCCAGCTTCTTTTTCTTCTTTTCGCTGCGTTCCTGCTGTTTTGCTGAGACTTGCTCCTTCATATTGACAAGCCTGATTTTTAAGCTGCAACACAAAAGGTTACTAAGTCTTTATATCCAGCAATTTTAAGCGATTTTTCAATCAAAACAAATTGAGCACATGGAGAAACATCGGATATCGATAAGAAATCGAACTTAGCCCACTTCACCACCCTCTATTAAAAAGTTCAACGAATTGAGGTAAATGACGGAAAATATTACTGATTGTAAACTCTCCTTGTAGATCCATGCCATCTTTCCTCTAAACTTAAAAAAAAACACGATATCTTTCACCTGAACTGCGCAAAAATTTGCATTATTTTCGGTAAAATATTAAATACTCCCTTGGCTTGCAATGGGTTAATCGTTCTCCGTCGAGGATTGGAAACCATATTCCTCGATTATGATATTCCGTCGAATATTACTAGCTAGATAGGTCTCTCAGCTCTGCCAACATAATTTTAACCAATTAATGAACCTATTTTCTACTTGCTTTTATTGGATTTTATTTAACAAAAGGTTTTAGCGAAATAGGTCAAAACGAAACAACGAATGAGGATAGTCGTTCATATTGCTCAATTTAGAGATTCCGTTGAATAATTCTAGCTAAATGAAACCCTTAGTTCTGCCGACATCATTTTAGGCCATTGATAAATAAATGTTCTACAAGATTGGCTAGTTTTAACGACCCCGCTTACTGTTTTTTTTATGAAATAAGGTTTAAACAGAACCTGGTCGACAAAAAATTATGTTTTTACCTGGTAACTACACAATAACTACATGTGGAAAAATACCTATTTAGTACAAAAAGTGCCCGCATGTAGCAGCGCCAATAAAGTTACTTGCTGTCGAAAGCTGGCTGGTATAAGATTCCGGTTATATATATATGTCTCTCGTTCTTTTACATGCCGTCTGCCACAGATAAGAGCGAGATGGCAATAAGCCAAAACTCACCGTTAGAACGCCGCGTGCTTTGCGCCTTATTTTCAACTTGTGCAAAAAGGGCTGCGTGAAATCAACGAAAAAAGTGTGTAGTGCTCTGAATATAGATCCACAAAATGTATGCCGCAGTTAAGCCGCTGTCTAAGTACTTGCAATTCAAGTCGGTGCACATTTACGATGCCGTTTTCACCATCCACTCCAAGTGCACGGTGGCCCTGCTGTTGGCCTGCACTTTTCTGCTCTCCTCCAAGCAGTACTTTGGCGATCCCATACAGTGCATGCGCGATCACAATGACATGGACTTTATTCACGCTTATTGCTGGATGTACGGCGCTTACGTATCGACCAACATAACGTACACGCCTGATCCGTTTGGACACGAGCGCTGCAAGCCGGGTAAGAATTGCAAAATGCGTTCATCCATCAGCGTTCGATTTGTGACTTAAAACATTTATTCGCTTTACGCAGGTGGTTTGGGAGGAACAGTGCCTATGGCTCAGCGCCGATATCTGCGTTATTACCAGTGGGTTGTTCTAGTGCTGCTCCTGCAGTCGTTTGTGTTTTATTTGCCGGCATTTTTGTGGAAGATCTGGGAGGGCGGCCGCCTAAAGCATCTGTGCATGGATTTTCACCAGACCGCAGTCAGCAAGGAGAGGAGCAAGGCTCACTTGGGTGTTCTGGTCAAATACTTTACGAGCGACTACAAGGAGACACACTTTCGCTACTTTGCCAGCTATGTGTTTTGCGAGGTCCTGAACTTAGGGATCAGCGTAAGTAGACAACGCCTCACCATTTGTGGCCCCCCCCTGTAACTCATTCAACTCATTCTCAACAGATTGTGAACATGCTGCTATTGGATGTGTTCATTGAAGGTTTCTGGACTCATTATGTGGACGCTTTCCTTGCGGTGTACTCTGGCGACTGGGAGATGTGGAGCAGCATCACCAAGCGCGTCTTTCCCAAGTGCGCAAAGTGCGAGGTAGTCAGATTCGGGCCTAGCGGATCGGACTCTTCAATGGATACCCTCTGCCTACTGCCCCTAAATATTCTGAACGAGAAGATCTTTGCCTTCTTGTGGGTCTGGTTTATGGCAATGACTTTTCTGGCTGGACTCAAGCTGTTCTTCCGCATGATTACCATGTTCAATAGCGGCATACGCTTCCACATTCTGCGGGCCAGAGCCCGTCTCATGCCCAAGTCACATCTGCAGCGCGCCCTGCAAAACTGCAGCTTCGGCGACTGGTTTGTCCTGATGCGTGTGGGCAATAATATTAGTCCGGAGATGTTTCGCAAGTTGCTCGAAGAGCTCTACGCGACCCAGTCCCAGCGCAAGCACCCGCCTGGAGCGGATGAAATCTAACCATGATTCTAACTAAATTTTTGACATTTTCCTACCAATGAAGTTGTCTATTCTTTTATTTTTTTCGCGTGCCTTCAAGAGATGTTCGGAGATGGCTCAATCATATTCACATCATAATCGATATGTAAGAATTATCGACATTGTACTTAACATAATTTCATAATTTCCTTTCAAGTGTCACTACTTCTTAACTAAGCGAAATGTACCACTTTTGTTGTGTACATACACATATGTACTTTAAAACGTATCTTAATGAATATAATTTTCTACCTTTATAATCTTTGTACAAATCAGGTGGAGTACTCACCGTTCTGCTCGAGTCAGCTGTACCATAGGTGTCCTTCCGCTCGCCTCCACCGATTGGGGATCCTTCTGCTGATTGGGTGCCATTTGTATTCCTTGTCGACTCTGTTTTGGTGGTGAGATTTTGCTTTTTTTTCTATCTATTTGCATCTATTATTATATTACTCACACTTTGTCCGTTGATAAAATTTTGAAATAGGATTTTTGACAATTTTTAATTGAATTTTCATGTGTACAATCGGATGTGGTTGCTATTTTTACAGTAATGGAGGTTTTTAGTGTGGAACCTTTAAAACTAAAAGCAACTAAAACAAAAGTTGTTTTTTCTCTGCTTGAGGTGTATGAAATTTGTATCAAAATAATTTCGGAATAGGTTGTGTTTCTATCAAGAAATGAGTCGCAAGGCTTACTTTAATCGAACATTGCCTAGGGTGCTGAGTTTCTAGTTTTTCTGTGTGTATGTGTGTGTGTGTGTGTGTGTGTGTGTGTGTGTGTGGAGTGGGGGTTACTGCTGGATGGATGGTGGGTGGTTCGTTGCTCTGCAAATTCCCCTTCAACTTGCACTTTTGTCCGATGGTCGTCGTTTATAGCTGACCTCTGCAAGTATTAGCCCGTTTTTCATTAACCAAAAAACTGTAAAGTTCGAAACGTAGCATAAAAATTGGCAGCGATGTACTTTGGAAGTGGGTCGATCGCCCGATGATCCACTTTCCGGAAGCCTTCATAAGCGCAGCGAGCACCCGGCGATGGCTTCAGTTGCCGTTTGCCGTTTGCCGTGTGTACCGTGTGGAATAAGTGGTCGTCGTCGTCTTTGTCGTTCTCGTGGATATCAGATTCGCTTTTGCCGGTTGCTTTATGCCTTTTGTGGATTTTTGTTTGAGTGCACGAGTGAACCGCTGTAATTCGAGGCTCCTTGTTGGGAAGCTAATTAAACAAAGTGAAGAACAACCAAAATAAAGCAGCAAAGAAGAATACGAATTGCTTGTCGCATTTCCAGCTTGGTGTCCAAAATGTATAGTGCATAAGCGACTGTTCCGGAAACCCCAGAGAAGAATTGATAGCAAAATGACTTACAGTATGGATGGTACGTGGAACACATATATGTTCGATTTTAAGCAGGAATACATTCTAGATCGTATTAATCTCCAATAAGTTCTTCGACTAAGAGTTCCAATTTTTTGTTTTGCATTTTTGCATCAGCATTTTTATTGAAATTGAAATTATTGCGAAATTGCCGAGCAGCACAGAAATTGCTGAACAAAATAAAGCCCCCACCAAAAAACGAAGAATCGGCTAAGAATTTTTAATCGTGTTAAAATTAAAACAACGTCCACATCACTTTTTCCGTATTGTCAAAAGAGGAACAACTAGTATTTTATTTTAAGCAATTTAGTTCAAATAAGAGCCGACTTTGAATTTCATTCGAGATAATTACGGTTATAATTTGGAGAAAATGAATTTCTTAGACCTGGAGGCCACCAGGCTATTGCGAAGTCCGCGCTACTGGTGTGCCCGTACGCCCAACAAACGCGTCCTGGCCATCACCGTGCTGGTGATCCTGGCGATGTTCTTAATGCTGATCTACCATGGCATTGTGGTGGAGAGAATGGGTAAGAATATTACTAGAAAAAGATGAGTTTGTTACGTAAACTAATGAGTGTTACCACCTCCAGATCGCGTTCAGCAAATCGCCGCCCTGAACGAAAAGCATCGACAGTTCAAGGAGCCCGTCCATGAGGATAAGGATGTACTGATCGTCAGCCCACAGACATTGCACGTGAATTTTAAGACCGGCGGACAAAGCGCGGGGATGAATGAACGGCAGAGCCGCTTGAACAGCTTGCGCTGGAAGTTCCGATTGTATAATAAGCGTCGTGTGCCGCGTGACCTGTCCAGAAGTGACATACTCGATCCCCTTCAGGTGGAGGCCAACATGCAGCAGATCTACTCGAAGCTGAGGAGCAAGCGGGCCCGCCAGGCCCTCAGTCTGCTGGAGAGCGAGTATGTGAGATGCAAGAAGCAAACCCCACACGACTGCATGTCCGCCTTTGTGCGGATGTACAACATGGCCAAGGAAATCACCGAAAAAATGGAAAAAATGAAGGCCATCATGCGGGCGCAGCAGCCCCAGCTGGAGTCTGGGAGCATGGAGTCGAATGAGACCCGCGAGAAGACCCAGGAGTCGACTGCTGGGCCCACGACAAGCGCAGCAAACATCACCGAGGAGACGTCCTCGCAGAAGCCCGTCCGATCCAAAATAAAGCCAGCGAGAATCAGCTGGATCATAGACGGCCATGACCATGACGACAGTGCGGTCTATACGGATAATACGCCAAAATCATTGACCACCAAAGAGCCAATGAACACCACTTTGCCGCTGGTGGAGACGACGACACCCCAGGCAACGGTAGAGGAGACCTCTCCCTCAAGCGTGGGACCCTCTGAGGTGATTGTGGGGACCACAACGGAGCAAATCAGTTGGATTTTGGACCGCTTCGACAAGCCCAAGGAGATTGTGCACACCACAGAGGGGCCCAGACAGCGTACCACCAGAGAGCTGACCACCACGGCAGCCGCACCGAACTCTGGGCTGGAGCACACCTCGGAAAACGTTGTCTGGGAGACAAAGCTGACAACAGACGCACCCGAAGCCCTGTCCACGACCACTCCTGCCGTAGCCCACAACGAAACAGTGCCACGGAAGCTGCAGTTCGATTGGATCATTGATGGCGAGGAAGTAGTTGAGCCGGAGCCAGAGATGGGAAACTCTAGTGCCACCGCAACCACCACCCAAGCCACAGTCAGCACCACAGATGCCAGCGACGCGCATAACTTTACGGCATATCCGACCAAGCCAAAGCCAGTGAAGATTAGCTGGATCATTGACAGCGATGTGATCAGCGCAGAGGTGAGCAGCACGACCAGTCAACCCAAGCTAACGACCACCACGGAGACACCCACCACTGAGAAAGGTTCCCGTATTCCCGGTCATCCATTGGACAATCCCAGCAGCATTGAGAACATGCTCGAGAGCTTCGAGCGGCACGAACCGGAGAAGCCCATCATAAAGGTGCTGTCCAGCAACGAATCCTCAGAGGATACAGTCACAGATCTGTACGAGCGCCAGCACTGGCTGAAGAAGTTCGAGGCGCAGGCCATGGAAACAAAAGATGAGTTGATAGACACCTTCGGCACGGCGCTGGATGCCAAAGTGTTGGACAAAATGGGACCGAAGATCAATCCACTGAATGGGCATCTCCTGAATGGTAAAAAGCGGATTCAATCGATTGATTCTGATCAACATTAACCCTCTTTTCTCCTCCACAGCTGCGGATGCACAGCTGATGACCTTATGTGAGCGGATGCGGAACAAAGTGGCCGCCATGGCGGATGGAGAACAGACCAAGCAGAAAGGAGAAACCTTCACGGCCTCGCCCAGTGTGCAGTTTACCAGCCGGGCGCCCGGCGGATTCCCTGTCTCCGGAGAGACGATGAAGGCCTCCGCACAGTTCATGTTCAATCCGAATCTCGGGATGCCCAGCATCCCCGTCTGTTTCTACATGACGCCGGCCAACTTCCGGATGCCCATGTGGTCGGCCGCGCCCACGTTTATGGGCATGCAGGGGGCACACTTCGGTGGTCCATCCAACAATGGCGGAGGAGGCGGAGTCTTCTTTGTGCCGCAGCAGTTTGGGCCTAGCGGCAACTTCTTCGGTGGCAGCAGCGGCTCCGGAGCGGGTGGCCAGGGCGCCAACATCTTCTCGAAGAATGCCTCGCCGCAGAAGCTGTCGAATGCCCAGCAGCAGGTTTACTGCAGCTACATGCAGAACCAATCGGGCCAGGGTCAGGGCCAGGGCCAAGGGCAGTCCCAGGGACTCAACCAGCAGCAGGGAGTCGGCCAGTCGACCTTCTCCAATGCCAACTTCAAGATGCGTCACGACGCCAACCTGACGAGTGCCGTCCATCATCAGGGACAGATCATCTACGCCAGCTATGCGGGACTCCCACAGCAACCGATGGAGCGCTCGCAGTGCCCGGAACCGGATCAGGTCTCGTGCTACGGGGGCCAGGAGTGTATTCCAGCCGCCCACTGGTGCGACAATCGTGTGGACTGCAAGGACGGCAGCGATGAGTCGGCCTGCACCTGCGGCGACCGTCTGAACGAGGAGCGTCTGTGCGACGGCTATCAGGACTGCCCCATGGGCGAGGATGAGCTGGGCTGCTTTGGCTGCGAGCCTCTGGCCTTCTCCTGCTACGAGAATTTGGAGGAATATGCCCGTCACAATCGCTCCACGATATCCATGTGCTACAGCCGCCTAGAGCGCTGCGATGGCTTCTTAAACTGCTTGAATAGTCGCGATGAGCAGCAGTGCAGTATGCTAGTCACAGATGTCACTCATCACATGGTAGGTGAATCGAACTCTCCTCCAGCCCTACTCCCTTCTAATCCGTTCTAATCTTCTCCAGTCACACGCGGCCTCTGCTTCTGAGGGGTATCTCTATCACAATCATCGCGGCGATTGGCACCCGGTGTGCAACAATGGCGAAAAGTGGGCAGACGCTGCCTGCGAGCAGGATGGAAAGGTGGAAGGAGCTGTGCCCGAGCTCACCTTTAAGCCGCTGATCTTACCGGGTCCCTTTATTGAGCCATCGCTGCATGCGGGAATCCACTTTGCACAGGCCTGTCATGGTCGCAACAACGCAGATTCCCTAGTGGATCATGTGGCCTATGTCCGGTGTCCTCCGACACAATGTGGATTGCCCAAGAATACGACCAAAATGGAGCACTCGAAGCGCGTGAAGAGAGCTGTGGCGGAAGCTAAGGAAACCGTCGGCGAAGGACGCATTGTTGGAGGAGGCTACACGAGTGCCCTTCAGTGGCCCTTTGTGGTGGCCATCTATCGGGACGGGAAGTTCCACTGCGGTGGCACCATCTACTCGGATCGTTGGGTGAGTTCAGCAAAGGATTCTCCTTCTCGATGTGGTCTAAATCTCTATTTTACAGATCATCAGTGCCGCCCACTGTGTCATCAATTATGCGAAATACTACTACGAGGTGCGTGCTGGACTCCTGCGTCGTTCCAGCTACTCTCCTGCCACCCAGA